GTAAAAAAGATGTTGAGACTCTAGAAAGAGTACAGAGAAGAGCAACAAAGATGATCAGGGGACTGGAGGCTAAAACATAAAAGGAATGGTTGCTGGGATTGGGTATGTCTAGTCTAATGAAGAGAAGGACGAGGAGTGACATGATAGCAGTGTTCTAATATCTCAGAGACTGTCACATAGAAGAGGGAGTCAAACTATTCTCCAAAGCACCTTAGGGCAGCATAGGAAGAAAGGAACAATCTGCCTCCAGAAGTTGTGAATGCTCCACCACTGGAAGTTTTTAAGAAGAGACTGGACAGCCGTTTGTCTGAAATGGTATAGGGTTTCCTGCCTGAGCAAGGGGTTGGACTAGATGACCTCTAAGATCTCTTCCAACTTCTTCTTCGTCATCATCATCATCATTATTGCACAGTGAGTTTTCTTCCCTGCATTTTGGATTCCTCCCCTTCTCTTTGCCAATTAACGTACATATCCAATGATCAAGAAGATGCTGTAACATCTGGATTTTCCACAGCGTCTGTATTACCATTGCTACCTATTGGGAAAGCAAATTAGGCCATCTTTAATTCTGTTTATTCTCCCAAGTGCCTTCTGCTTTGGGAAATATGAAGGCAACAAGGTTCCTTATTTCCTAAGACTAAAAAAAAAATTATTCTTTCCCCAATCATCAGGACTGGGTCCTCTTTTATTTGGGAAACCCCAAACCTGTGCTGAATCTAGGACAGCTGTGCTAATCTTAGTATTATTCCCTTATCAATGAACCATCAGGACCATTTTATGTGATAGTGATTAAGGTGATGCAGGGGGGAAAAAGAGCTTTTTCTCTACATGCCACTTGTTTAAGTAGTTGCTACTTTTTCAAAGAGAACAATGTTTTACATGCCTCGCATTATTAAATGTTTCCTCTCATTATTAAACCGATGTACATTCAAAATGTTAATAACTCAGTTTCTGGCTTTTTAAACATTTTCTGTTGAACTTTTTAAATTTATTCCTGTTCTCTGACATAATCATTTAGAATTATATATTTGGAGGACTGTAGTGCCTATATACAAAGAGTGCCACATTGTGACAGCAAGAAGGAACAAGCAAGTTATAATGTCTGCTCACCCTACTCAAAATAAGCCATTGAGGCAGAGATTCTTGTGTTCAGACCCTTCACAGAGTGAAGAGAAATCAGAAGTGCACTTATGTTTGGAACAGGTTGCTCAAAAATTGAAAAGATCAGAAGTTCCTAGTTACCACCATTATTCTTCAGCTTAAGAAGCAAGGACATTCTGGCTTTCAGACAGCAAACTCTTCACATAATAGATTTTGTGTTTACTTGTATTCTAGACAGTATATGCACCAAGGGAAATAGCTAAACAACAGCTGGCATTTCAAGCTGTAATCAGACTCCTAAATTACTTGTTATACACCAACTTGTCCTCAAAGGCTGATGTGCTACACACTTTGCATTTAAATGACATCACAGCAAAATTTGATCCATAGCATTTCTTTCCTTAATAATTACAATTACATACGGTACATGCAATTAGGGCTCTGCCTGATATGACCCTTGATGTGACTGAATACAAGTTTTGTAAAAAAGAAGAAGAAAGAAAATAAAGAAATAAAAGGAAATATTCAAACTTGGTTACTTATCTACTTAACACAAAGACACACATTTAAACTAGAAGTATAAAATAGGTTTTTTTCCTTAATCAAACACAGCTCCACAAAAGAGAAATAACATGTATTTAGACAAATCAATCATATTCTACTTAAAGACTCTGTTTAGACTTATTTTCTTTGTACTAAAGCACACAAAAATTATTACTATGGACATCGACTCTTTTATCATTATTTGTTATGTTTCCTTTTTACATTAATTTAATAATTTTATGCATCAGGAATGTAGTAGAAGACACATTTCCCTTTTTTGAAAATTGTCTGAAACTTCTGTATTAACCCAAGAATTGCTTTAAGCATTTATTCAACATGCACTTAGTTGTACTATAATATTCCCCAATACTCTTTATGTCTTATGTAAGCAAACAACAACAACAACAAAAACAGAGATTTTGTGGCTGAAGTTTTACTTTTTCATACACCACTTTGAATTCCAAAATAAAGTAGTCTCTGGCCAAGGTTTTTCTGGCAACTATATCCAAAAAGAACATATCAATTGCAGCCCTTAGCTCATCACATCCTCATGCTATTTGTACAATGCCAAATGTTTTTCCAATTATTTTGTTGCCCTGATTGCCCATACTTCATAAGACACAGGTCAGAGTTGAAGAAAAAAAAAACAGTAAGGGTATTTGTTTTGGCAGGAAAATTCTGTAATCATATCTCTGCGTTTTATTCCATTCCAGATAATAGGTATTCTTGTGACTATGTTATTTTTTTTTCTTTTTTAAGACTGGATGCTTATGCAAAATGGATAGATAGTTTAAAATGTTGAAAGGGAATTGCTCTGCAGTTCTGGAAGCAATTTAACCAATAGATGCTTCTGTGTTGGAGCTCTGAAACTGTGATCCCACCTTACATAAGCCAACAGCTTGCCAATTAAAATGTGTAAAAGTACATACAATAACTGCACAACATTGAACAAAAGTAGAGAATTATTTTAGAATCTGGAAAAATGTGAAATGTATGCATAATTTTAGTATATATACTTGCTTTTCTACAAGGTACGCATCATTGTCTTGCCTGATGGCGTGAACCAAGTGTTATGATTTAGGCCAGTGGTGGCGAACCTATGGCACGGGTTCCAGAGGTGGCACTCGGAGCTCTCTCTATGGGCACACGTGCCGTTGCCCCAGCCTTGGCTCCCCCCGCGACCCCCTCCTCTCCAGCAGCCCCGAGAGTCACCCCCGAGCGTGGCCCACACGGAGCAGTGCAGCCAAGGACATGGCAGCCAGACAGCGTAGACAAGACTCTGCCCTCACACCCCATCATGCAGTTGATGCTGCAGGGCACGGGCAGAGGGTGTGGCCACCATAGCGCTGCTGGGCTGCCTGGACGATTTGTGGCAGGCCCTGGAGGCAGTGAGTGGTCCTGTGGGCAGGTGGGGTGGGGGATGGGGGGCAGAATGGGGGTGGGACAGGGGGTGGAGCAGGGGCAGGGCCAGTTTTTGGGCACTCGGTCTCTAAAAGGTTTGCCATCACTGATTTAGGCTTTCCCCCCTGACCTCCATATGCCTGTGACAGTGCCCCATAAAAGCAAACAAAGTTTTCAAAACAGAAGATCTTATTGGGCACTGCCAACATTTTAGTTCTTAGGTAAGACTCAATAGCAGTCAGATATTTGTGATGCAGAAGAATACAGTTTACAGTCAGTTTAGAAGATATAACATAGGCCTACCTATTCAAAAACATTTCAGTTATCTGCTGCTATAGCTATAAGCTAGGCAAGGGAATCAAAACTTCACTATTTTTTCTAATTCTGGTTCTTCTCTACCAAATAAAGAAAGAATCCTACTGTAATATAAACTAAGAATGTGATGCTGGGGGGATGATGGTCCTGTCTTCAAAACAATTGCCTGCTTTCTGACATCCTTTGATGTCATCCTTTTCCTGATGCAGTGATCAGGGGAAAAAAAAACTCCTCACTGTTGCACCTACTTTCCTGATTTCCTTTCCTGTCCCCTGCATACATTTAAAAGAAAAAAGTTAGTTACAATGATGTCTACTTTAGGAAAGCTAATTTATGAAAAATATTTGAAGCCATAAAGCTAGATCCAGAGATCCCTGTGCAGAAACCAATTCTTGACAAGATTAGGACAATGGAATTCTTCCATTTGTCATTGATTGGACTCTTGTTTATTAGAGGGGTGGACAGAGACACAGATTCAAAGGGGAACAGGTAATTCTGAGTCCTTATGTAGCACCTGCTGTTTAAAGAAACTGCACTTTTTCTGGGTTTGTGCTATTACTTCCACATGCCGTAAGAAAGAAAATGTTCGGTTTAAAAGGTGTTATGCGCAATAATAAAATAATATCAAGGAATTTAATTTATGTTAGATCAGAAGACTGATAATTTCCTGCAATATCTCTCTGAAATTCTAACAGACTATCTCAGTTCCCATTATTGTGAGGAATATAATATTTGCAGTTTCATATAATTCAGCTTTCAGATGGATTGGATTTCAACTTCCATAATCTTCCAGTCAGCTTAGTTAATTATCATGCTGCTATAGAGAGTAAGGCATATCGCTCTGATGGAAATATGCCACAACCGTTATTCAGATAAAAAGGGCGGGAACATTTTTAAGTCCAAAGCAATGAGACCCCATCAGAAGTGCTAATTCACTGGAATATAAGCGGGAGGAGGGGGAGGGGGAGAAGAAGGTACACCATAATCAGAATGTCAAGGTTCTGATACTATAACCAATCTTAATAAAAGCAGTTTTAGCCTTCCTGTGGAATTGATTTCTTGGTCTGTTGGGGTGACATGTTGGCTGACCTCTCATTTGACATGGTGGCTGGGAGACTGTGGGAGATAAAATCAAACATATTTTCCCTACGTTAGGGAAAAGATAAATTTAAAGCTTTCTATGGAAGATGTTAAAAACCTTCTTCTCTAAGGTTCTCAACTGAATTTCATACAAGCTACATCAGGGGTTCCCAACCAGGGGTGATCGCACCTCCTGGCAGTGTGAGACAATATTCCAGGAGGTGAGAAACCTTGGGTGTTCAAAATTATAGTGTATATGCATAATTTGTTGCCATTATTTCAAACTTTTGTAAGGGGTGCAAGAATATATCAGAAGCGTTCTTAGAGATGCGGGGTACAGAAAAGGTTGGGAACCGCTGACCTACATGAATGACAGTAAGATATACCTATTATATCTTGCAATGTTGCAAACTTCATTACCTGTCTACAAATTGAACACCGTTTTCCAGAGGGATCACCTAGTACTGGCTTTGACTCCACCAACCATATAGCCCCACGAAATCTTTGAGGACCGACCACTTGGTAGTACAAAAAGTTTTGTAACTCCCATCATCTCTTACCATGAACCAGATTGCGTGGGATTGCTTGTACTTTCAGTTCAGCAACACTTAAGAGGATCATCTGATCTACAAAAGGAAAAGTTAAGAGTGTGAAATGGCGAGGTAGAAAATAGGGTTTGCAGGAAACTGCATTAGTAGAATCTTTTGGGAGCCCTTGATTCAGATCTAAAGTACTGTTAGTTCAGGAAAGTAATATAAAGTAGCACCATTAGTGTAGAAAGCCAACAAAATGAATATTTATATATAGTTTACTCTTATTGGAATGATTGTAACACCGTGCCTAACACTGTTTTAAACAGCTGGAGAAAAGTCATATACCAACCAAGAATATTGCAGTTATAAAAGTTAGAGCATGACTGTTGTATAAGAGGGAGAGAGAAATTTAAATTGTGCTGCCTGGAACACGATGTTCTTTTACATGTTGTGGTTATTGTGCCCTCTTTAAAATGTCTTGTCATGTGGACAAGAAATAAGATATAATCAGATGCTCTGAAACTGTAGAGCAGATTTAACATCTCTCTTTTGTGTGAAAATCTATGGAAGGTGGGTGTCTTCATAATTGTGTTCTTTTAATAATAATTTAAATTATATTACAGCTGTCACAGATTGCTAAGAAAATCCTGTTCTCTCCTGGACTCTAATTACATTGCCTCTTATTTCTTTGACAAAAAAAAAATCATGCTTAAAAGGATCCTGTTCTATAAATTGTCTTTGTTACTAAAGAAAAAATAAGAGATAAAAGACAAGAAGTCAATAATGGAAGGATTACTTTGCTGCAAAAAGGATGGATGCTTATCTCCTGCTTAGACAAAATCCCACTGTCTATGAATATATCTTGTGCAATGAAAAAAAAATTAGGAGTAAAAGTTTGTTGGTGTGGGAAGTCACAAAGAAGTCAGGGAAGCAACAATTTGTACAAATTCATTTTAAAGAAACTCTTGTGTATTTTCTATTACTGGATCTGAGCAACTCCTCATGGAAGAAATATCAATATACTGTCCTTTTAGCAATGAAACGCACACCCCTTCACTGAACATACAATCAGTGCTTTTTTTCTAAAAAAAAAAAAAAAAAGGTGCTGGAACTCACACACATCATACAACTCACCTTGCCTACCCTGCAAGGTTCCATCCAAAAAAGGTGCCAGAACTCTGTTCTGGGCGTTCTATGACAAAAAATAGCCCTGCATACAATAGTGACCATTTCTTTTTAAAAATTATAATGCCATATTTTTCCCATAATATCCTAAAGCAGAGATGTACAAACGTTTAGCCCTTGGCCTAACTTCATACCTCCTTCAGACTAATTTTAAAGCATGTTGGAAATAAACAGTTAAGACTTCTGGCCATATCAGGCAGCCCATAGTTGAGAGGGAAACAAAAAAATGGAACTATAATATAAAGAAGAGAGGCACACAGAGTAAGCAAAAGAATGGATCCTTCCAGCACTTTGAACTCATTCTCAACAACTTGCATGTCATCCACCATGGATGGGACCACGTGGGATAATAGACTGGGAGCTGTTGTGGGAAGGGGAAACTGCTAGGTTTATATAAAGAACTACACAGAATGTCAAGATCAGTCATATGCCCTCTCCCATGTGTTTAGAGAGATTTAGGAATTTGGGTGTAGCAATTTTCTTTGATCTTTTACAAGGAATCGTTCATGACCATGCTTTACGCAATCTTTTATCGAACACATGAATTATTATTTTCCATTAAATATATCCTTAGGGATACTGCTCCATCTACACCCAGTCCCCCAGAAAGAGAAAATAATGGATCACAATGACCCTTAAAACTTTGTATATGAGACAATGACGCACAAAGAGATCTCTTGAAATGGTATTATTCAAATTATATACAAGTCCCCTTTTTCATAAAATGCAAGATTGGAAGGAAAGCCAGTTTGGTGTAGTTTTTAAGGCATCAGGCTAGAAAGTGGGAGGCCAATCAATTCTAGTCCCACCTTGGGTATGAAGCCAAATGGGTAAACATGGTGCAGCCATGGTAGCACAGTGGATAGAATGCACTATTGCAGGCTAACTCTCCCACAGTCTGGAGTTTGATCCTGACCGACTCAAGGTTGACTCAGGCTTCCATCCTTTCGAAGTGGGTAAAATGAAGACCCAGACTGTTGGGGACAATATGCTGACTCTATAAACTGCTTAGAGAGGGTTGTTAAGCACTATGAAGTAGTATATAAGTCTAAGTGCTATTGCTAACCTTGGGCCATTCACTTTGGCAAACCACTTCTGAAATACTTTGTGGGAAAACTGCAGGAACTTATTCAGGCAGTCTCTGAGAACTGGACATGATTCAATAGAAGAAGAAAAAAGATTGGAAGACAAATATTATCTTTCAAGAAATTTCTATAGTGTGTTTATGTAGTGCATAGCAGACATGTACAATGCTTTGGCCTTTGTATTTGACATGCTAGACCACATATCAACTACTGAATCGGCCAAAGTAATCCAAGTCAAGACTAGAGTACATAGTCTCTAGCTCTCCGCCTTTAACAAAAATTGGCTCTGATGATATATACTAGGACAACTTAAAGGGAAGAAATAAGAAAACAAGAGGAGGGGAAGTAGGAAAACTGATTATATTTAAAAGATGAAGTCCAGATCAACTATATATTTTTATATTTATATTTTCAAAAATGCTGGTTGAGTCATTGTTTGTCCATTTTTAGTTAAAAAAGTTTTGGAGCAATCTTGACCATCACCCCAAACCACTGCTGAATAAACTGAAGCTAGCTCAATAACTCTTTTCTCCTTCCACATTCCCTGTTAAGACTCTGGTGATGCAGGTATTCCTGACTTCAGGATCATGTCAGCTGATTTTGTTGTTGTCCTACTCTTTTTATAAAATCATGCTTACATAAAGAGACTATTTGGAAACTTAAATAATTTTTGGCTTGTTCTAAGGAGAACGTTGCCTAACTCCGATCCTGAAAAATTCCTTGCAGCCAAACATCACTACTTATAACTTCTGATTTAACAGTACCTTTAAGGTAACCTCCCCCTGCTTTCATTTACTCCCACAGCATATGCATTCTTTCTTATTTCAAAGGAATGCTTGCAATTTTGTGGTATTTTGCAAACCTTAATTAACGATCCACAAGATGTGTTGAAAACTAATGCCTAAGGTGTGACATAAATATTTGGTGGTAGATTTCCAGAAGTCTGGAAAAATATCCTCTTAAAAAAAACACTTAAGAATTGAGTCACTGGAGTCTGACCGGGAATTGCTGTTAGAAATAATTCCTCTAATACTTAATGAATGTCTGTCTACTGGAGAAGGCCCAATGTCTTCTGTGTACAAAGCAGGATGTTGGAGCTTCCTTTCATCTTGGAAAGATCTTCTGCTAAGTAGATGTTGTTTACCATAATCAGCCTGGTTTGTGACTAAGAAATCATTTACACTTGATGATTAACAGACTCTTTTTTTTGCCATTGGACAACTCTAAGTTACTCTTTATAAGCAGTGAGTTTTGTTCAGTAAAGAGAATGCTTGCTTGTTGTATAAATATTTATAGAAGTATATACCAAGAAGGTTAGATAAATAGAAGTATTAATGTAAGAGAAAATTAATCTTATTGTATATAATACAGATAGGGAAATTTGGAGAGAGGAGTTGCTCGGACATTACCCCTGAATTGTATCTGAAGAGGGATGAGAGGGAAGAAAGGAGAGGAGAGAGAAAAGAGTAAAGGAGGGGAGAAGGAAGTAGGAAGATTGGAGAAGAAGAGGAGAAGTGGGGAGAAAGGGGAGGAGAGTGGTGAAGGAAAGAGGAGAGGAAGAAGAGGGAAGTAGGAAAGGGAAGAATGGGAGAAAGAAGGTAGAGAAGAAGGAGTGTGGAGACAGTGAAAGGAAAAATTGGCGAGCAACACCAAAAGTCATGTGTATGTATTTATTTCATTTTATTAAAAGTATCTTATATATGAATGTAAAAAGAATGTACAGTATGTTAACATCTGATAAATATCAAGGTATATGTATGGGGGAGAGTTTGGAAAAATAAAAAATTATTAAAAAAAAGAAACATTTAAATATGTTCTTTATTTTCTCAAAATAAAGATTTACAAGTTAAAAAAAAGAATGCTTGCTCTTGCTCTTATAAATGCTCACAGATGTGACGTAGTTTAAGTATAACTTTAAGCTGAATTATTAAGGTTTGTACTATTTGCATTTTGTGATTTTATTATCCACTTTTCAGTTTGTTCCAAGCTTCTCTCTGTGTGTAAGCACATACTTGCTATCAGAAGATAACAACTGATGAACAAAATCTAGTCCCATATAGAAATCATGATATTATCAGTTTATAAAGCAATGCCACAATCCATTAAAGCCTACCCTATTTAAAATCACTTGCTAGTAACATTAAATTGAGCCAAAAGCTTTGGTAAAAGAGATAATCCAGTCATGTCAAAGGGATAATTTACTACTTCTAGCTCATTCTGAAGTTAAACTGCAGCAAAAAGCCTATCAAAAGTATACACTTCCATATGGATTGGAATTGTAACATATTATGTTGTCATGGCAGTTATTAAGTCCTTAGCTGGTCCTCTCTGTCCATTCCATTGCTATGTAAGAGCTACTATTTGTCTTCAAGAGCCATTATATCTAGATACACATAACAACAGAGACTAGGTTTAGCGTCGTGGTTAAGGCATCATGTTAGAAACCAGCAGATTGTGAGTTCCAGTCTCACCTGGGTCAAGAGCTAGGTGACCTTGGGCCAGTCCCTCTATCTCAGCCTAGGAAGGAGATAAGAGAAAACCACTTTTGAAATCTCAAGAAAATTGCAGGGTTTTGTTCAGACAAGTTGCCAGGAGTCAAAACTGCCTTGAAAGTACACTCATACAGAATAGAGACTGCAGACTGAGTAACACAACAACCCTGTTCTATTTTTCTAGCCCAAAACAACGAATAATGCTTCAAAACTGCCTCGCAGATTGTTAAGTCTAGCTGGAGGTAGAAAATTTGACAATTCAGTTTATATACATTACATATCACTTGATTCCCCTGCTGATGCTAATGTTGCTCTGAATTAGAGCAATTTG